AACTGGCGGTTTTCTTGTTACAGTTCCGCTCGTAGCCCCGCCCTGGCCGTTACCCTCCTTTGCCTGCATCCCGGCTGCGAATAATTACATCTTGCTGGGATGTTAGGCAGGTAGCGGTCAGAGAGGTTACACTGCAGTCTTAATCCCTGCTTAGATTACCCCCAGGATGACAATGTTGCGAAAGCTCAACAATGCCCGTTTGTTACAGTAACTGGCTCTAAATACATACCTCTGTGTCGAGCGCAAAGCTGTAATTCAAGCTGAGCCGGTGTGCGGTCGAGACATGCGCTACCGTCTGCCACCGCACCGGCTGTAAATGCGGCAGAATGTTCCGCAATGAATCGGAATGCCCATCCGCACTGACCACACTGTTGTAAGAAGGATGAGTATGCCTCAGGGTAATGCAGGGTCAATAAGTTCGCCCTTTGGTTCCCACATGGAGGGACAGCACTGCCGGAAGTCTCCGCCGGGATAGGAATCCGATAAGGGGATCACATCTGGTGTCTGTTTTACCCCAAATGGACACCTGCTGGCACCTGATGGTACTGCGGGGCAACTGTGTATTAAATTCCAGAGCTAAAGAGCAACACAGGGTTGGCAGTAGTAAGAGGAGGACGTCTGGAAGGCGTAAGAGGATTACTGGGTTTCTGCAGAGCGTTTTTGCAGAAATGTGAATTTAGCAATTAATTTCAGTAGCATATTTCGATTCTTTCACATGAAACCCACGTACACGTCACACAGTTCCACATGGTCTCTTTCAGCCTGTGTGATGTCAGTTTATGTTTTTGTCCACAATTTAGGTTTGGGCAGGAATCAGCAGCGTCAGGCAACAAAAGGCCACTCTCAGCGACGTGGGACGGCCACGTCTGAGCCACGAAACACAAGCAAACAGCAGGAACAATGGAGCTGCGGTTACCAAACGTCGCTGATCCTCTTGAGCTGGGAACAAGCGACGGTAGCGGCACAATGGGTCTGACCTGGCCCTCCGCCCAGACGTCGGCCCAGGAAGTTTGCGCAGACTTATACTTCAACCTTCTACAAGCAGCTGCGTGCTTGTTCAGCAGAAAGAAGGAAGGAGAAGTTGCAACATATACAGTCAGCCTGAGAATGACAGGCCCCGTGTGCTTTAGGGCACATGACAGTCTGTCTCTCTTCCTGACGGTTTGGTTCTCTCATACAACGGCCAGGAATTACCAGGTTAAGTTCACCGCCTAGTCCAATGCCTACGACCTTCAAAGGAACTGAGCTGAACCAAATCTTTCCCTTTGTGTCACCGCTTTCCCATAATTCCCCTTGACACACGGTGTCACATGACTGACCCAGCTGAGTCTCTCTGTCACTCTGGGTCGTGCGGTTGAAATTCGGCTTTCATAAGGCGGATTCCTGCACCTACGCTGTCGAAATGGTCCCATGTGTTGTTTTTGTTCTTTATTTCAAAAAAAAAAAAAAAAAAAGAGAGAGTGCTTGTAACGTTGCGGGAGTAACCACCGGGGCAGCATCCCACATGTTTGTTTTCTGTAGAGGCAATGGAGGGATGACCGGCATGCGGAAACCAAAAACCGACCCACAACAAAGAGCCGGCTGTTTTTTTTTTTGGGCCAAAACGCCACTTTGGGAGCTGAGCGCCAATCAGCTGTCAGCCTCTGGTTTTCTGCCGGTCCTTCAGGGGCCTAAGGGGCACAGCATGGTTTGGGGGCATGTTTTCACGGATCTCGAGGTGGGGGAAAACGACGCAGATCCCATTAGCGTCGTCTTGCAGGCTGGGGGAGCTTCAGACGGAGTGGGATGGTGAGAGGACAGAGGACGGAGCCGCCATGGTGCAGGGCTTGGCCCAGGCTAACAGGCGTGTGGCTGATCCTGGTGCACATACTTACACTCAAATGCACACGGCAACACACACAGACACACCCAAGTGGGCACACACACACATAAACACACAAGTATGTCAGATTCACTCCTTCTGTTTTATAGTAATACGTACCCCAAAGTTCACGCACCTGTATATATGCTATTTCCACAGGCTGCCACCTGCCTGTCTCTCAGGCCCTGTGCGTGCTACGTGGCGCGAGGAGGAGCACGCAGGGAGGAGGAGCACGCAGGGAGGAGGAGCACGCAGGGAGGAGGAGCACGCAGGGAGGAGGAGCACGCAGGGAGCAGAACCCCGCTGGCCGGGCTAATGGAGTTAGCGTTCCCCGTGTTAGCAAGGCCCGCAAGAATGTGGTGGGAAGACTTTCACGCGGAGTCAGCCCGCAGGTCCCCACCGACTCTCCCAGGAGCCGGAGGAGGGAGGAATTCCGTGGGGGGAGAAGACAGGGAGAAAAAGGGGAAGAAGAGTAACGACGAATGGCACCCCCCCAGGGAGAGACAGCTTTGAGATACGTAGCCGCCCCCCCCTCGCAGCCTGGTGGTGCCTTCAGCTCCCCATACTCCCGCGGAGTTCCCCTTCAGCTCGCAGTGTATGGGTGTTTCTACATGCCCCTCCCCACGCACATGCAAACAGGCGTCCGCTCCCTCGAGCAGAAATTCGCCGACACCCCCTTTTGTCCCCTCTGGTGGAATCTGCTTGTCAAGTCAGTCTTCAATATTTTGGCATGTCTCTCAACGGCACATTTACTGGCAGTGCGATGGGGGGGGTGGTCTGTGGAGGGAGAGGGAAGAGACAGAGGACAGATTAAGCGGAGTAGAGGAATGTTACTGTGGTTTAAGTGTGTGTATAGAGCGTGGGATTTATGGCCGACACACGCTCAAGGCAAAATAGTTTAGAAATTATTAAACGCCTTCAATTAAACTTATAAAAGGGGAAGGACAGACAGAGAGAGAGAGAGACGTCCTGACTGGTGATTTATGGGACCAAGCTCTCTCAAAGAAACCCCAAACAGCTCTCTCTCAAAGTCTGCCGAGCCAGTCGTAAAGACTAGCGTTCTGCTTTGGTGCAATCCAGTTACCTTGTGGCATGGCTGGTATTTTACGGGCCTCATCTTCTCGGCAATGCGCTTCACAATGCCTCACTTGTCTTAATGCAGAAGCAGGATTGAGTTGATGACTTTTAAAGCGACAGTGTCCTTTTTTCTGAGCAGTGAGTCCACTTGCAGAGTTATGGTGAAACAGTCGTTAATGTGGCCAGGTGACCCGCCCAATTCCAGGGTATGAAGTACAGTATTCAGCCCCTATTCTGGGTGGAAAAGTAGTCTCGTTCCCTTAGCTGGGAATCCATGCTGTAACGGTAACGTTATCCTAACATTACGGAACATTTTAACCAGGGATTGGTCGCGGCAGAGTCACTGGGACCCATTAGCGGTCAAGGCTGGATCTCGTTCCCAGGGCAGCAGGCCATTGGATGGAGCAGCGTGTGTAATTACCCCTGGGGAAGGCTTTAAAGGCAGGCTGCGCTATGCGGTCGTTTACGGGGGGAGGTAAAGGCCGTCATTGCGGGGTTCCCAGGGAGGCTAAGAGCGTGGCCCTCGGCCAGTGAGCTGAAGATCTGAGTATAATCACTCCCAGCTTTGATGTAAACGTACACTTCCCCATGTGTGATTATATAAGAATTTGTGTTTATAATACAAATCATAGAATATGCTGGCATTAAATATTAAAAGAGAAATGTATGATTCAGTTACTGGGGCAAAGGAGCAGAGTTCTACGTCTTACAGCTTTTAACTTTAGTTAATCTAGATGGGTAATTGTTGTTGAGGTATTCACAATTTCAGTGTGTTTCTCGAGTGATATAATTAGATAAATAAGTGTACGCCATTAAAGGGGCAGGGAATAATGTAAAGTATTTGGGAAACGAACATAAGTTATAATTACATTTGATTCACTAGCAGGGAGCTTTGCATCTCAAGTTTAGAATTTCAAGTCAAAAGGAAGGCTAATTTGGTACAACTACATTTTTAACCGATTGAAGAAAAATAGAATACAAGAAGTAGTCACACAAATGTTCTGTTTGGGCTAAAATCTGTAAATGCCCCTTATTTAAAACTGGACACAAGTCTGGTGTTGCGTGTTTTCAAAGCAGTGGATAACCCTCTCGGTGACATATTGACCAAAGCTCTCTCCGAATGAACGTTCATTAAAATAATCTGCTGACAAGGAGACTGAATATACCGAGAGACAGAGCTCCTGTTATAGGAACACAAAGCTAATCGAATAGCGATTAGACCTGCGGGGCCTCTGCCATTTTCTCTTTGTCTCTGAAGTAAATCCAATGGAAAGCTGGTAGATTAATCTCTGGGACGAATTTTGTCATTTTTAAAATGCTTTAGTGTGTCGTCGGCATAGGCGGCTGACTGGCATAGTGTTTAAAAATTATTTTTTTTAAAATTTAATTCGCTCAGGTTAGATTCAGAAGGTTTTTGTGTTATTCTTTTGTCTTTGAGATATGGCTATCGTGGTACCCCTGACCTGACGCGCCATAACCATGCTTTTCTTGGCAGGGAAATTGATTGTTGGATTTCACTACAAATCTAGGGAAAAGCTTAATTTTTCAGGTTTTAACTGGGTCCCTACTTTAGTGGGGGGGTTGGAGAAAACTGAGGATAAAATTCATCATTGTTTTTGGTCAAACCATTCAAAAAATGATGCATTTCAGTGAAAAAAATATTCAAATGTGACATTTCTGGACAGAGAAATAAGTTAAATCTGAAACGATTTGTGCCAGATTTTACTCTTTGCTCCCATTGATGTGCAATACCTGCCAGTTCTGCATTGGTAACAACATCTATAGTGTAAGTCGTTCAAGCCATTTCGGTAATGTAGTGTGGCTGCATATTACAGCATGTTTGGGTTTTTTTTGGACTGGAAGTTCTTCAGATGTTCTACCAATCACACATTTCACCCGCTTGAGTTGAACTTTCCACTAATCACAAAATTCATCATGTCCAATTATCCTGCTGAATTATTCTGTGTGGTTCACCCCAAGCACGACACAATCCACACAATTACTCTGTTTCACATTTAAGTGATGCATTTACATTGCTATAAATTAAACTGAAAAATCATGGTATGCGTTAATATTTAATCACAAATATTGTAATTCTTGTGTATCACGACATGCATTATATGAACAGGATCATTTTCCTAATTGCCAATTAATATTACATGTACTGCCTTGCACAGTAGATTTAGTAAGCTTTCAAATAACACAGCATAACAATTTATTTATTTTATTATTTATTATCTTACAGTGTATATGAATGTATGGGTGAACCTGTGAATGTATTTTGTATTTGCATACTCAGGATGCTCAGTCTAAATATATGGTAACTCTGAGCTACAAAGTAATGCAGCATCCATCCATTCATCCTGTAGTCATAAAATAGCTGTATGAACAGAGAGAGGTCAGATGGATTTTTCTTTGGTACTGCACATAAATATGAGTTGATATTTTTGGGGTCTTACAAGCGATGACTGCTCGGAGAGATGGCAAAGTGCCCCCAAGTGCAGAACCAGGTGAGACTGAATGTTACCCAGCGTCCCCTTCCTCTTAGACGGCCATCTTTGGCCGTACGCCGTGCGCTGCTCCCGATAAGAATGGCTAAATTGTAGGCTGACGTTCACCTAGAGGAGCGGTCTGCTTTTATACAGCCTGTGCGGCTCGGGTGCAGCGCGGCGTCTGCTTATCCTCCCGATGCTTGGGACAGATTCCCTCCTTCTCTTTGCCTTCAGCTGGAGGGTCAGTTTGGGCTGGCTGCCATTACGAGGGGCACGGGTCCGGGGCTGGCCCAGAAAAAGCAAAATGAGGTTTTTGCTTTTAAATGGGAGCTATTCTACTCTATCCGTTTCTGCATACCGAGTCAATTTAGTATTTTATAATTTGGGTGAACAATGGGTAAGTCGGCAAATCATTAGTGCAGAATTACCTGCGAGTGCTGAGAGATGAGGTGTCCGTTCTGCATTCAGTCATTCGCTGGAGAAGGGTCTGGCTGCAGGCTCCATCAGGAGGATCTCCACTAGAGGGACAGAAACACATGAACTCCACAAGCGGGTCCGGACATGACGTTACGCAAACTTACGCCATGGAGGCGGTACCATCTATCACATGATCTTCACACACAGCTCGGACTTGTTAGTGGGAGAGTTTATAACTTCGTCGACAGGAAAAAGTGAGTAGAACAAGAAACAACAAATATTGCAGTTATATAATTTGCATGATTTAAAAATGTTCGTCAGTAAAAGATATTCGTTGCTATTAAAATGTATATTTGATGTAAACGTCTCGCTAAAGTTGTCGGTAGCATTCTAGTCACTGGAGTTTTAGAAAGTATCGGCCAATGTTTTTTTCCCCCAAATTTAGCTTTAAATTGGTTACTTAAGCGTAGATTGATTGTGTCCGCAAACTCCCGTGTTAGACAGTTTATAGTTTCTAATCAATTCCATACAAATTTTGCTACTGAAAAAGAAAAAAAGTATATGTATAAATATTTATTTAGTTCCGAATCTGTTTAGCTTTAGTGAACTAGGCAGCTCTTTTACAAATGCTACATGTGCTGTGTAATGTGTTTTTAGGCAGAGTGAAGTAATTATTACTGTATATGACAATTATACTTATCTATATATTATACTATTTTAGATGCACATATCTATATGGGATGCTTATTCCCAGCCGGTTCTGGAAGAATGCAACACCTGTTGCAAAAAACGTTTCCACTTCCCTCTTTGTCCAGCTTTTAAGCCGGCAAAGAGGGTCAAAATTGAGAGACATATGGATGTACATATGAAGAATGCCGTTCATTTCAAAGGTATAAATAATACATTTCCTCTTTCTTAAATTTCAAATATTTTAACTTTGTCTCTTGGTAATCTCAGGTTGTCATATAATTGAATGTACACATTAAACTTTCTACTTTGCTTTCTTTGATATATACTTTCATTTACTTTGCTATACCTAATATTTCCACATCATTAAAAAAAATTTCTGTTTTACAGACAAATGCATCTGTAGGTGCAGACTCTCATGCCGTGCAGAAGGCCATTACCACTGCCCCTTCTGTCAAAAGACAATTATACGACGAGCGGATAGGGAAAGACATTTAATATCATGCCAAGGGCCTCTTCCAGCTGTTCTACCTGTGGCCTCCGCCCCTTCTACATATGTGTTACTGGACACTCTGACTTCTTCTGTTTTAAACCAACTGCCATTTACATTGCACTGTGAGCATGTGAAGCACCTTTTGTTTTGACCTGTTGGTC